ATATGTAGTGTCTTTAGGTATTATTAGAAAATAAGCAGGCTAACATTCGAGCGTGATAATTTTTTCTGTCATATGTAGTGCTTTTAGCTTAGGTATAAGATAAGTCGACTAACAATTGAGTGCAAGAATCTTCTATCTCATATGTATTACTTTTAGGTACTAGAAGATAAGCTTGCAAACAATTGAGGAAGGGAATTGAGCGGGATAATTTTCTATCTCATACATAATGTTTTTACGTATTAGAAGATAAGCTTGCTAATAATTGAACGAGATAATTTTCCCTCCCATATGTAGGTCTTTTAAGCATAAAATAAGCCGGCTAACATCTGAGCGGAATAATTTTCTCTCTCATATGTAGTGCTTTTATGAATAAGGAGATAAGAAAATAAGTTTCTCACAATTGAGAGGAAAACTTTCTCTCTTATACTTAACTAGACGAAGTACCTATGCGATGCACGGGGTGCATCTAGTATAGAATAACATTTTATTATAACGATACACGATGTGTATTCATGTCAAGTAAAAAAATTGAGTTTATATATATGTTGTAGCTTTGTATACAAGATAGTAATTGTAAGAAAATTTATTTTTTTCTCTTGAAAATTGCAAGTATGAAGTGAAATAAACGATAAGGTATAATAGTTACGGGTGGGCACGATCTAGGACGGTTCAATATTTTGCTGAACCCGTACCTGTATCGTGACTATTGAAACAGTCTGGTTCGTTTTGTTCTTAGACAGTAGTTAGGCCTAAACTCGTTCGGTACAATTCCATTTTCAAATGGGATGTTACAATGTCATACAACGCCGGCTCTGCCACCCAATTCCAAACAATGACACTTTAATTTGAGATATGCAAAACATTAATCACAAAACATAAATTCATACAATGGTATTGGTTCTCATTTTATGAGAATTGGTCATGACATAGTTTGGAACTGGTATGTATGGTCTAGTTCAGAACAAAAAAAATTGACATTCGTTTCAAATCCCATTTTTCAGTTTAGTACCATACCGGTCCAGTTCAGTACCATGTCAATTCGATATTTTTTCTCACCCCTAGTAACAGTAAATTCTATATGATGATAATGGAATTAATGATGTTTTTGCTTGAAATAGAATTTTTTAATCTGGTTTTGTCTGATTTGTTTAAGTCTGATATGGTCTGAACTTGTCTAGTCTGGAAGATGAAATATCTGGTCTCTGTGTATTTTATAATGGTCGATGTTTGGTCTGTCTGGTCTAATATGTGTAGGTCTGACTTGATATGATTTGATCTGGTGTGGTTTAGTCTAAGACTGAAATAAATGCAGGTAAAAACATCATAATTATAGTATAATTATTGGGTCTCATAAAACTATAAAATAGAAGAGTCACAATTTTATACTTTACAAAACTTCTTTATAGATCAAATTATTAGTGATATTAATAGCATGACACTCGTCATCACATATAAGAATCTAAGTCCACTTTTTGAGGTGATAGTTGACATGGCAACGTTAATTGAACGTGCGAAAAAATGGGCTTTGGAAGATACATACTCACTTGATGTAGAGATCGTCCTTGACTTTTTTTTTTATCGTCAAGGCAAATGAAATGACGATTACAAATTTCCTGCATTGAAAATTGAAATGAATTCTTATATCAGATGGGATCAATGATGATCGTTGAACCAAAACCATTTGACCAATATTATTGCCGGATATAAATTTTGCCATGAAAATACATTTACCAATTGAGTAATAATCAGGCGAGTGTCATTACATAAGTCAGAGGACTGGTCAATGTTTCTCATTACATCATATGAACACCAACCTTTAGCTCCAATTTATAATTCGGTAACCCTGGCACATTGATGGTGTTAAAAAGCTCTTAAGTATGCACTTCATTGAATTAAATGTTGCCTTCTAGTGAGCATGCCTGTCAATATTCAAATATGTCCTCATTTCTCTAGTCATTAGTGAGATCATTTGTGAGTGTCAAGAGAGTTTTTTGCTGTTTTAAAAATTATGGAAATTAAATCAAACAAAACAGAACTCATTGAATCAGGGGGCAGAGCCAGGACACGGGGCCGACACAAAAAAAAAATTTGAAAAAACTTTTATAACGAATTTTTTACATTCAAAATATAAACTTTTTTAAATTTGGGCTAGGCCAAGGACCGGGGTTGCCCCCCTAATTAAGCCCCTAAATTGCATATATTATTATAACTTTACAAAAGCTAAATTGCCCTGCATTGAGTAAATTGTTATAACTTTACAAAAACTAAATTAATAAATGGACCCTTGAACATCCCTGTTTGGCAAATTTCCAAAATGATAACAAAATTTGCTCTTTATTGTACTCACTATTCAAATAATGTCACATGTAGTTCGCCATATCTGCCCACAGTGTACATCTAAACTGGTTACCCCGGAACAACACATGTAGTACAATTAATTTAAATAAATAAATTAGTCTAATATATGTGATTAAATAAATCTATATATTACAAAAAACTATATATTAAATAAATCTAATTAATTTAATTAAATAAATCTATATATTACAAAAATTGTATTAAATTAACGTACCCCAAACCTTCCAATAGAATGTCTATCGACCCCGTCTAGAATACCTTCCAAACATTCTAAACTATTCTACCCCAAAAATATAATACCTATTTTTAAAATGTTTGCTCAAGTCATTCAAATTAACTCATACGTAGTAGTATAAGGATGTTTTCTTTTGGACTGTTTTCAGTCCCAGACCAGACCAGACCAGACTTAAACAAACCAGACCAGACCAGACCAGACTTAAACAGACCAGACCAGACCAGACTTAAACAGACCAGACCAGACCAGACTTCCGTAGTTATAAAATACACAGAGACCAGACGTTTACCAGACCAGACCAGACCAGTTCAGACCAGACCAGACTTAAACAGACCAGACCAGACCAGACCAGACCAGCAAATTTCAGTCCAAAAGAAAACATCCTAACAATTGAGCGGCGAAATTTTCTCTCTCATATGTAGTGCTTTTATGTATTTGGAGATAAGCTTGCTAACAATTGAGCGGGAAATCTTTCTTTCTCATATGTAGTTCTTTAAAGTATAAGTTAAGTTGGTTAACAATTGAGTGGAATAATTTTCTCTCTATTATGTAGTGTTTTTAGGTATAAGAAGATAAACCGGCTAACAGTTGAGCAAGATAATTTTCTCTCTCATATGTAGTGGTTTTAGGTATAAGAAAATAAACATGCTAATTAATGAGCGGAAGAAATTTTTCTATCACACGCAATGCTTCTAGGCAATAGAAGATAATCTTGCTAATAATTGAGCAAGGTAATTGAACGAGATAATTTTCTCTCTCATATGTAGTGCTTTTAAATATTAGAAGATAAAAGAGTTAACAATTGAACGAAATAATTTTCTCTCTCATATATAGTGCTTTTAGGCATAACATAAACTAACTAACAATTGAACGGGAGAATTTTCTATCTCATATGTAGTGCTTTGAGGCAATCGAAGATAGAAGTTTGCTAACAAATGAGGAGGGGGATTGAGCGAGATAATTTTGTATCATATATGTAGTGCTTTAGGTAATAAAAGATAATCTTGCTAATAATTGAGCAAGGAAATTAAGCGGGATAATTTTCTCTCTCATATGTAGTGCTTTTAGATATTAGAAGATAAGAAAGTTAACAATTGTAAGCAAGATAATTTTATCTCTCATATGTAGTTCTTTTAGGCATAAGATAAACCCGCTAACAATTAAACGGGAGAATTTTCTATTTCATATGTAGTGCTTTGAGGTATTATAAGATATAAGTTTGCTAACAAATGAGAAGGGGGATTGAGCGAGATAATTTTCTATCTTATATGTACTGCTTTTAAGTATCAGAAGATAAGCTTGCTAACAATTAAACGAGATAATTTTCTCTCCCATAAGTACGTGTTTTAAGTATAAAATAAGCCGGCTAACCATTGAGTAGAACGATTTTCTTTATCATATGTAGTGCTTTTAGGTTATAGAAGATAACCTTGCTAATAATTGAGTAAGGAAATTGAGCGGGATAAATTTCTTTCTCATATGTAGTACTTTTAGATATTAGAAGACAAGAAAGTTAACAATTGTGAGCAAGATAATTTTATCTCTCATATGCAGTTCTTTTAGGTATAAGATAAACCGGCTAACAATTGAACGAGAGAATTTTCCATATCATATGTCGTGCTTTGAAGTATTAGAAAATATAAGTTTGCAAACAAATGAGGAGGGGGATTGAGCACATGGGAGGATCTATGTATAGGCTGCTATGGTGGGCTGAAGCCCTGGGCAGTTCAAAATTTTTAGAATTTTTTTAGTGTAAATTTTTAAAATTTTCAAAGTTAGCTCACCCCGCTAATGTTTAAGACTAGGTTAAATTACTTTTCAGCCCAGGGCATTCCGGAATTCTGGATCCGCCCCTGATTGAGCGAGATAATTTTCTATCATATATGTAGTGCTTCTAAGTATCAGAAGATAAGTTTGCTAACAATTAAAAGAGATAATTTTCTCTTCCATAAGTAAGTGTTTTTTAAGTATAAATTAAGCCGGCTAACAATTGAGTAGAATGATTTTCTCTATCATATGTAGTGCTTTTAGGTAATAGAAGATAATCTTGCTAATAATTGAGCAAGAAAATTGAGTGGAGTAATTTTTTCTCTCATATGTAGTTTTTTAGATATTAGAAGATAAGAAAATTAACAATTGTGAGCGAGATAAAATTTAAATTTGTTAATGCCACAATTAATGCCTCATATTTGTGGGATAATTGTTAGGTTAGACATTCAATTCCATCAATTACATCTTTCAAACAAATCTAATTTATTACATTTAAACTACCAACTTACACATATAAAAAGAACAAGACCTAATTCATAATAACTTATTATTATATTATAATATGTCAACAACAAATTATATTTAAATGTTGTTTTGTGTTCAGGTATTACGTCTGACAAAAATTATTAAGTAGTAAGGATGCTTCAAATATTAAAGACATTCAACAATTTTCAAAGTGGTTGTTAGATGTAAGAGATGGAAAGATATCTGAACCAAATGATGGTTATGCGAACATACAGATCCCAAATGAATTTTTGATAACAGATTATGACGACCCAATCCATGGCATTGTTGAAAGTACATACCCTAACATACAACAACAATTCAAAAACAAGGAATATCTAAAGTGTAGAGCTATTTTAGCATCTACCTCTGTAATTGTTGATGATATTAACGAGTACATATTGTCCTTGCTCCCAGGTATATCATCACATTTGAATTGTATTAAAATTTTGTATTAAAATTTGTACTAAAGTTTACACAAATCTTGATTGCAGGCGAAGAAAGAGAATATCTAAGTTCCGATTCTGTAGACAAATCAGATATTGTTGATGCGGACGCATTTGAGGCGCTGACACCTGAATTCTTACATTCCCTACGAACATCCGGACTACCTAATCCACAAATAAAGCTCAAAATAGGAACTCCAATCATGTTGTTAAAAAACATAGACCATTCTGAAGGATTGTGCAATGGAACAAGATTAATTGTTATAAGGTTAGGCAATCATGTTATTGGCGCAACATCGTTGTCTGCCTACAACATGGACAATGAGATTTACATTCCTCGCATGTGCATGTCTCCTTCCCAATCACCATGGCCTTTCAAACTTATAAGGAGACAATTCCTTATTGTTGTTTCATATGCCATGACTACCAACAAATCTCAAGGACAATCACTAGCAAACGTTGGAGCATATTTGCCAAGACCTGTTTTTAGTCATGAACCATTATATGTCGCTTTATCAAGGGTTTAAAGCAAAAAAGGACTGAAGATCTTGATACACGACAAGGAAAACCACTAGATACCACCACAAATGCTGTGTTCAAAGAGGTTTTTGAAAACCTCTGGCATCAATGATTCAATGCTTTTACTATAATTTCCGGACTGTTGCAAAGAAAACATACTACATGTTGATTCTTATTTACCTTTTACAAGAACTCTATATAGGTTTTGCTCTAATTAATGCACATAACTACTTCATATCATTATTTTTTAATACTTATTTTTCATTACATCTAATACAATTATGTTTGACACATGAAAGTTTACCTCACCCGTGCGGATGCACGGTACTACACTAGTTTGTCGCTAATTAACATAAATCGTGAGGATGAAGTTTATTTTATCACCTAATTGATTACGTCAACATTGTGGAGGGATATCTTTTGGTGACATATCACCATCACTATTTTGTGATGGTATCTGTTGTCAACCTAATTTATATACATAATGACAAATTATATTGTCATTTATTATTATTGTACTACGTATTAAATTAAAGAGAAAAGAAGCAAATAAGCCATCGAATTATTTACGATTCAGCAATCAGACCCCTGAACCGGAAGACTTGCAAATGCATCTTTCAACTTGTCGAAAATTAAGCAATCAGATCCTATTTTACCTGTTGGTGCATGTAAAAAGATGAGAAATGACCGGCACCAGCAGGTAAAAGGAATTTGATTGCTTATTTTTCAACGAATTGAGGGGTGTATATGCAAGTTTTCTGGTTCATGGGCCATATTGCAAATAGTTCAAGGACTTATTTGCCACTTTTCTCTAGATTAAGTAAGTACGATATTATTTCGACATTGATGCTCCCTTTTGGTGATGATAAATGCAAATGTCACAAATTAATATGCTTGTATATCATCATGATAAATCGTAGTTAAATTGACATAGATCATGACGATGAGTTTAGTTTATCGCCTAAAATGTGAGAGTCAAAAGTTTAGTGTAATCTTTTAATTAGAAAACTTTCATTGATCTAAGTTTTTTTTGAATGAAAACTCACATACAATCATCAGGATAAGCATCCTCAATTCAGTCACAAGTTTTAGGATTAGACATATAATTATTCACCCTTGAAAAGGACCAAATGACTCATTATAAACCACAAACTAGGCAATATGAAGTCTATAATGACCAAATTGTTGATCCTGTCACCCAAAACACCTACGTGCCTTCGGCTTGCAGGTCACAACCAAAACAAAACTTGCCCCCATAATACAAGATAAAAAAATACACAACATATGCAATGACCTGACACAATTTGATAAGTACATGAAAAGAGAAAAAAGAAAAAAGTGCATCGACAAACAATGAATCTACAATTTACTCGGCGATCCTATCAACCAGAGTCTGCCCCAATCCCCTTTTCTCTGTCATTTGTCTCCAGTTTCATCATTGTCAACCATTCAGTTATTTTTTCTCTTCCACGCGGGTCAGACCCCTCTTACATGTAGGTTTTCTTTATTGGATATCTCACTACATCACACGACTAATGTATGTATTCCCAATGCATCATTTAATGTGTTTGCTCCATGTTGTATCCAGGGCCGGTGCTGTCCATTTTTGGGCCTATGGGTGATACGCTAATTCGGGCTTATATCCAAGATTAACGTAAGGGTGATTCTATTTAGAGCCCCCATTTTGCTATACACACTCACCTTATTTTTAATTTAATAAATAAAATAGACGATTGCCCTATTATGTCCTTCCTTCCACAACCGGTGCAAATTAGCTGCCTCTGCCACTTCTTCTTTCCCTCAACTCCTAGCCTTCGGGGATTTCTCTTATTTGTTGCTTTCTTCTTCTTTTTCTCTTTCTTCCTCTTCTCTTTCAGTCGTTTCTTGTTTATCCGTCTTTCCTTTTTAGGGGGTCTGCCTCTAGAGTTTCAAATCTCAGCTTCCCCATCCGAAGATATCACAAAATTCACAGCTCCATAAATAAAGTGTCTTAGCCCCCACCAAATATTTGAGGAATAAATGGATTTCCATATCCCGACGTTGATGACAGATCCTCAATTGGCTTTGAGTATTATCGTATTGACCTGGAGATAGGAGATGAGGGATGAAATGGCTTGACAATGAAAAGTTTCCTTTTTCGAGACATTGAACCAGACATAGCCATTACATGTTATTAGAAGTCAGTCAAAACCTCCATGGATAGAAAACTCCAGAGACACTTGTGGAGCTTCTTCTCTATGAATTATGGGGTAAATGGTATCAACAAACAACTATGATGTATATATAATATGAGGACACGTAATTTGCAAGAATCCAAAGAAAATATGAAAAAGAAAACATACATCCAGTGCTTCTAATTTGGGAGTAAACCGCGAACACAATTTGGGGTATGGTGTAGTCCGTGAAAGGTTGGAGTGTTGGACGCCGGTGGCCGGAAGAATAGGTTCTCGAAGAAAACCAGGTTGCCTTGTGCTTCGTATATAATTGGGAAAAGGACATAATTGGGAAATCCATTATTTTATTCATTAGTTTTAAATATAATGGCTGTGTTTAGTAAAATGGGGGCTGCAAATAGAACTATCCTTAACGTAAACCATATAATAAAAGTATCTGACGAAGTTCATAAAATAAAGACGATGATCACTTTATTATTATTTAAGTTACATAGTTAGGCAAAAGTAATAACACGAGTATTGAATAAAAAGAAAAAATACTTAAAAACGTTTCTCGTAGAACAATGTGAAGCAAAACTCATAAACAATCTTCTTTCCACTAATAAGTTACAGCTGAAAAGATAAATGAAAATAAATATTACTACATATTGAATTTATAAGTTGAGAATGATTTATTGACCACTAAGAATTTAAAGTTTGAAGTCTCGAAGAATGAAGATTATCAAAGAGACAAAATGTTTGGTCATCAAGAAGATTGCCAATTTGTCGTCCTCTTTAATATAGTTTTTTTCAATATGGAAACAAATAAATAATTGGGATGAGATTTGGGAGCCACGGCCCACGGGCTCTAAAATAATTATATAATGTATGTATTCCCAATGCATCATTTAATGTGTTTGCTCCATGTTGTATCTTCGTAGTATCATATTCTTGTATATAAATGATGGAACAATGTATCAATTAGCTAGTGCAGTCCAAATCTATCAATTAGAATTCAATTTTGTCCTAAACAAGAGTCTAGAATGGTTGGAGCAAAGATGTGACCCAAAGCAAATCCACATGGACCCATGAAAGTTTTCAAGTTATAGAGTGCATACTCCATGATGATGATCGAGGTACCGTTTTGAATTTGTTACTTCTTAATATTTTTGTTTGTTTTTCCAACATTTTTGTGTGCGTTAAGGGTATTAGAATTAATGCTCATATTAAAAACGAATCAGATTCACCACTCTGAAGTTTCAATTGTTGTTCAAAGAGGGTCATTTTATGTTATCAAGAATTTTCTGGTGCAAGAATACTACATGAATTTTTAGGGCATATGTTTCAAATCTATGGTGTTTACCGAGAGTAGGAATGTGAGAGATGACCCTAGACCTCCACTCATGTATAGTATAACAATTCAAATGCCAATGCACACCCAACGTGAAACAATTTCTCTTAATGATTGAACTATTGTTCCACATGTCTATGATATACACCATGGTTAAAGTTCTTCTCGCTTTATGTACTTTGTCATGTTTTTGGATTAGTGTGAACCATAAAGTCACCTGCGCCAATGAAGATTACCCCATACGTTTTTTGTATGCAATCCTATTGTGATATTGTCATTTTGTTTAAACTATTGTTTTGCACCCCATTTATCCCTCTTTTGTATCGCATTTATCTCTATTTTGGATGGAATAGGTTGTTGGTTTCAAAAGATGTTGTTACTTTCATTAATAGCCGACAATTGAATTTCCTTACAACATGTGTCATTGCAATTTCTAAAACTCAATTTTTTCCTTCAGACGGCTTGCGCCGTTTCTTCGTCTAGTGAATGATTTGGAGCGATGGTGTGAGGGCAGCCGTTTCCACGCTCTGCCTCTCCATGGTTTTCTTCTCTATAGTTTATGCTTCTGGACATGCTGGTATGGATCAAATCTGGAGGCCCGTGAATGATACCTTCGATTGGAAAATCGTCTTATCAATTTCACTTGACTTGGCCGTAAGATGGGGAAGATTGGAATGGTGATGGGAGCAGGGGACAAATGGATGGGGCGACTTGATTGGGTCCTGTTCTGGATCGATTCGTGAGCAAGGGAGAAGACGATACTTCAAGAATATTGGCAGGAAGGAGCTTGGAGCATTTATCGATTATTTTATTTTGTATGGTCTTACTTTTGTGTTACAGTTATTTACGTTACTCTGTTTTTTGTTGATGTATTTAGTTTTAAATGTACAATAATGATTGACAATTCTGCTAGATATTATGTTGTTAGAAGGATTTATATTGTCAGTGATTGTTGTGTCACACCCGTTTGTTTGTTAACGATTCGTATTGCTCTTTCAGGGGTGATTGTATCTATCAAGGGCCAAATAATGGAAATATACATTATGCCAAATAAGAGTGTTTTAATTTGGGGGAGTTGAATAAATAAATAAAATAATTATACAATAGCCAAAGCAATAATATTTATAATATTTATCCCACATCCCATAGAAAAATCACACCAATTACTATATATGTATCTTAAACAATAGACACTACTGATTTAGTTTATTCACAGTATTCAATTCTCTTGATAAAAGGGGCAAATAAGGCCACATACTAATAAAAAAAGGTCAAATAAGACCTTATTTAGGAGGCTCTGTCCGGCTGTTGCCATTTGGGGTGGTTCCCGGTGTAATTTTTTGATGAAATTTTTTGAGCGTCTTATTCATTAAGTCTAGTTTACTCATACCAAATTTCAGCTAAAACTGCAATCGGGAAGGCATTCAAATGAATTCTTGAAGATAACTGCGAAGTTAAAAGCGCAGTTATCTTCAAGAATTCATTTGAACGTCTTCCCGATTGAATTGTTAGCTGAAATTTGGTATGAGTAAACTAGACTTAATGAATAAAATGCTCAAAAAAATTCATCAAAAACTTCCACCGGGAACCACCCCATATGACGACGGCCGGACAAAGCCTCCTAAATAAGGCCTTATTTGACCTTTTATATTAGTACGTGGCCTTATTTGCCCCTTTTAACTCTAAATAGAATAAACACACATGCAATCAAGTCCTT